TCGTTAAAAATAAATGGTTGTCGATGACACTTGCGGCGGCCGGTCACTATTATCCGTGACACCGTGAGATCCACTTAAGACCACCTACATGGATATTACAATCACCTCTCACTCTAATCACACATGAGTGTTTAATTTTCGAAGAGCAGAAAGCTTCCTGTAAAATTCGTCTTTCCCTTCATCCGAGATGCAGTCATAAGAGGCAGGGGCAAAGACAGAAGAGGCAACGGCGTATGTCTTATTTTTTGACTTCTTACTGTCCTTTCGAGCCGGATAAAGCACAAATAACTATAGAAATCCAGTCAAGGAGTCTTTTTCGCATTTTGAACTTAAGGCTACACATATACCAGAGTCGATGGAAGTTGGCCGTCAACTTTCTGGATACACGGAGGGTAGATCGTAAAGCCTTACTGCATTGACTAGGTGGACTCAAGTGAATGACCACACTTGGATCCTGTTTGTGTGCTTCGGAGACAAAATATACAACCATAGTGTGAGATCCCACAGTCCTAGATAAGGAAGCCTGTTGGCCTACTTGATATAAATTCCGAACATTGACAGCCTTAACATGTAGTTTCAACATCAGGCTTCAAGAGACCAGAAATAACTTCCCATAGACTTAAATAGGTGCATAGGTAGTACTTGGAAATAAACATAAAATCATAGGAGAAGTATTGACAGTGACGATAGAAGTAATATTAAGAAGTGACGAAGGGATCTATCTCACAATTAACAAGATGATCTCTAGTTTTATTAGAGATAAGAGAGTGGTTGTCACTTTCCATTTTTCCACACAGAGGAATGGTATTTCTTCTTGAGGGACTTGAGCGGGAGACTGGGTCGGAGGTTATCATGAAGTCCTGGGAGCGCGGGCCAAGAAACAACTGCTCAAGGACAGTCACACATGACTATTTTATGAGAATTGCTTAATGTAGTACCTCTAGGTTTTAAAGGGCTTTACCACCGGGGACGGAAACCAGTAGGGTGTGGTGAGGTGATACTTTTACAGTCAAATTACTCATAACCCAACCCATAAATAAGCTGAAGATTAATGAGATAATTTAAACTGATGATCAGGATATAGAAAATTTAAATTTTAGGCACTGACTGTAACAAATTAAACATTAAAATTGAAATATACTATCGCTGGTTTATAGGAAAAAATTCATATTGGAAGTGGAAAAGATAAAAAGTATACCGTTAATAAAAAAAAACCGAATTTCAATTTACTTGATGACAGTTTTCTGCTTAACTAAATACGAGTCAATTTATCCCGAGTAGGAAACACCATCCATGATACTTAGTGTTAGTGGGACATAGATTGGATTAAAGCATGCTCAATGCACGATTGCTTTGGTGCACGCTGATTGGCTAATTCTTGCCCAACCAGCGCTAGTCGATACTTGGAGAATACTATAGAAATATTCTCATGTAAAAACTATAAATGTACTAACGTTTTTCCTATTGTGCTTCTTACTTCCGTCTAACCTTGTTATTTGGAATATAATCTTTTGCCTGTTCAACCGTGTTCTGGTTTGGGGACTTGTCTAGTGAATATGTGTCCGAGAATCCAAGTAATAAGAATAGCTGGGTTATAACCGTAAGAGAGAATCATAACACTTAGATTAAGGTACATATAAAACAGTTCGAGCTCATAAAAATTTGATGACTAACCACAGAAACCCTAAAATACTGTACCAAGGACTAATGAAAAGATGTAAATCCATAAAATGCTTAGATTTTCAAAAAGCGACAACATGAGCAGTAAAAATTAAGATCGACCTAACTCTACTGATCAATACAACATTATCTTATATTGATTGAGATCATGAATCGACTGATGTTAGACCACCGTTGAAAACCTGGAAGCACTGGACGGCCGTTTCGTCCTAGTATGGGACTCCTCAGCAGTGCGCATCCACGATCCCGCTCGCGGGATTCGAACCCAGGGCCTTCAGTCTCGCGCGCGAACGCTTAACCTACTCGACCACTGAGCCAGCATCCAATGGTGTTAGTGTCTAACATCAACTAATCCACGAAATTGCGCGACCATCTTCCATTGTACTGAGGTTGATACCTGTCTCTACCCGACACGGATTAGCTCCACTAGTCACACTAACACCATTGGATGCTGGCTCGGTGGTCGAGTAGGTTAAGCGTTCGCGCGCGAGACTGAAGGCCCTGGGTTCGAATCCCGCGAGCGGGATCGTGGATGCGCACTGCTGAGGAGTCCCATACTAGGACGAAACGGCCGTCCAGTGCTTCCAGGTTTTCAACGGTGGTCTAACATCAGTCGATTCATGATCTCAATTAAAAGCTTAATAATCTCCACAACCCCAATACTGATAATTATCTTATATATATAATTCAAACTTTGACATACTGAAAATTGAAACTTTTTATGCTGTCAGAACATAGCTATTAAGTTATTTGATTTTAAAATAAAAAACTAAACAATATGTAACATTACAAACTTTGATGAGTTCAATATTGATGTCATTTTAAAATACAGGAATATCATGACCCAGAGATATCGATGTCATGAAAAGAACAGGTACCCATTACGACAGAAAATATACTGGTATTTAACATTTATATATACATTATAGCTTAGAAAAATGGTACGCATTTTATATGAAAATAATAATTATTTTTGCAATGGATAAATTTGTGTTATCCATAAAAACAAATGACAATAATAGGTTGATTGTTAAAGTGTTTGTCTATTAAGGAGTGGGTGTTAATGCGTAGCAGTTTGACGTGATTTAAGTCATGGCTCCCAAAAAAGTGCTTGTTATGATTTCTCTTATTACGACCCAGCTACTATTATTGTCTAGTGATCTTGAACACTACTTTACTCGCCAAGTCCCCAAATCAGAACACGGTTGAACAGGAACGTAATTATATTCCAAATAACTAGGGTGGATGGAAGTAGGAATCACAATAAGAAAAACGTTAGTATATTTACAATTTTTGCATAAGAAGATTCTATGGTCTCCATCAAGCATCTACTAGCACTGGTTGGTTAAGAAATAGCCCATCAGCGTGCCCAAGCACACCCCAGCACGGAGCATACTTCAGTGCAATCTATATCCCACTAACCGTGCTCATTTGAAATTAAGCGACATTTGTAATTTATTGTGAGAGGTTCTAACACTACTCAACTTTCAAAGCCAGAATGAGTGATGTAGAACTTGAACCTCTAACCTATATTTGGAGACAGTAGATAAGTTTCATGCTTGTGAAGTGTTATGTTATGTGTTCAAATAAATAAATAAATATGAAGTGTGATTATGCTTTTCAAAGAAACATCTAGTATAGTGAGAGACATCAACCAACAACTGAGTTATTGCTGGCGCAACTTGACGCCTATAGAACTTAAATGTTCACTCAGTAACAAAAAATATGATGGCACAATGAATGCGCTTTATCTGGGTAAGCTGAAAATCATAGCTAAAGATAAAAATTCAGAATGTTATTCGAGAATAAACTCTGAAATCTTAAGATCAGTGTTAAAGCATCCTTTTTTTTGCTGCAAGTTAGTACGGTTGATAAAAGAGAAACTATCAAAAAGTAGCCACTATAATTGATAGCCTGAGTCGAAAAATACTTTCTTATCATTATTATTATTATTAATATACATGCATGAAAAACACTCGAACTCTCCTAAATAAACAGTAATAAACGAGTAGATGGTAGAGATAATCGTAGGTCTTTTTGGATGTAGCAAGCCCCGAGTGTGAAAATCTATGTGCAAGAAAACATCAATTTTCACATGATAGCCGTAAATATAAACACCCCATGCATGTTCGCACACAAATACCCTTACACGCACATAACTATCTAGAGTCGAACTTCGTCGTGACATTCCCCAATATCAAATGCAAAAGTTATAAAATGATGCATTTTTAAGTAAAAAATTATATCAAAATATACCAAATGCCCTGGTACAATCGAGGGTGGGGAGAGTCAGCTCTCTCTCCAAACACTATCACATGACCACGCTTATACAACCATTTCCAGAGAAGTCCTAATCACTGCTTTCTCGCAGCGGGGGTGTTGTTCACGAGACTGACAGGGGAAAAGTAAATGTTCGAGGCTTTAATTGGGTTCGTGGGTACAGAGAATCCACCTAGGGAGTTAGAATGTGAACACTCCACTGGATGAGTAAAGATAATTTTCCACAAATTGGTGGGTGAAAAAGGGTAATAAACTCAACATATTTAAGTGAAAAACTTTAATGAAATTACGTCTATTTTAAGTTTATATAAAAGATCTTTTGCGACTTTAATTTGGGATTCGGCTACACGACAAAGCATTTTCGGGGATTGTTAGCGGGACAGATTGAATTTAATCATGCTGATTGCACGCTTGCGTTGGCGCACACTGATTGGCTAATTCTTGTCCAATCAGCGCTAGTCGATACTTGGAGAATACTCTAATCGATGTTCAGGCATACGCAAAACGTGGCCCAAACATCTCAGTCGATGAAGATTCACAACCTCATCAACTGATTTGCCATCATTCCCTAGCCTCATTATTACTTACCCGGTGATCCCAGTAGATGCGAGCAAAGTTTTCTGAGGCATCTATGGTCAAATACCAGTAGCTTACGAATATCTTCAACTCTTAATGGCCAAGTTTTGCAGCCGTAAAGTAAAACAGAAAGAACTACCGCGCAGTAATGAAAAGCCACCTCAAAATTTACTGTTTTTTTTTGGTAATGTTGATTGTGGTTTGAACTTTGATCTACTTTGCATATACATGTATAAAAAACGAAATAATTTTGAGGAACAAAAGATAATACATTTCCATATGAGAAATAAGATTCTGTCTACTTATCCAATGTAATAGACATTGGATCTCTGAATACCTCTGATTATACATCAATAGTGGTGTATTATTAGCGTGTCACAACAGCTTTAACTGAATTTTTTGATTTATCTGCTAACATGTAATTAGAGTAATATAAAAATGTACTAGGTTTTAGAACCACATACCATTTTTATAAATTATTAAGCCCCTAAAGGGCTATTGCATTTAATTCGTATATACACTATTCAGTTGGGTAGTTTTGTATCATACGAAGGTGACTTCAAACTGTCATTTTTAAAAAACTTTTAACATATTTATATCCACAAAATGTTTTGATTCATAACCATTGACAAGAAAATGATTGTGGGAATCACATTTGTATTCTAAGTCAGTTAGCACAACTGTATGAAGCGTATGCTTCACAAGAGCTTTGATGAAGTGCTTTAATGAGGAAACTGTAAAAGCAAAACACACCCAATATTAATAAGGAATACCCAATATCTCACCCTCTGCAACTGTTCCCGTAAGCTTTTTTCCTTCATTTCCAAATCATCTGTCGATAGATACTATGAAGAAAAAACAAAGGAAAAGAATAAGATAATGTGAATTTTGAGACTAATTATCGAACTATTAAGTTTGATTGATCCCAAATGAAAATCATATTGCTGTTAGACTATAGGGTTTTGAATGATTACACGCCAAAACAAATTTTCACCACTTTAATGATTTATACGTACATGCGCACAATACTTTAAAGACCAGTCGAATCAGCCTAAAGCATTTATACAGTTATAAGTCATTTCGGCATTACCAGATAAGTTTTAGAGCAGGCAACCATTTTGATTGCAATTATCGCAAGTATGATGCATGATAAAACATACACATCAATAAATTTTCTTAGTAGTACAGAAGTATATTTATCTAAGATTGTTAGTAGGAACGAATTAAAATTTCTGAATACGGATACCAATCACTGAGTTTAAGTTTCTGAACACAGCATTTTAATGCTTTCTTAGATGGAGTCAGTTTGATTGATGAAGCTATCAAGTCAACATTTCGTTCAAAAGTAAATAAACAAAATAAAGCCAGTAATAAAGTACTAAGAGTTCACCATTTTTGTACAGGACAATGACTCACAAAATAAAAGTCCCTTGACAATGGTAACAAGCACTCAAATTATTCATGATTCTCAGTCCTAAACACAATAATTACTTCATAATGGTGCTATTAATTAACTATAGTTTCAGATGTCAGGATGTTTGGCATCAACCCGTAAATTCCATGAATTAAAATTGTACTAAATAAGTTGGTGTATAACTCTTGGACAATTTTTACTAAGGCACGTTTAGTTTAATAAACGCACCATATATGGTATATCTGTGAAGTGCCTCTGGAGAATACTTTAAAAAGCCGAGAACTTCATGAATGCGGAGCCCCATCCAGTTAAAAAGTTCTTTATACTACCAACCCCATAAAAACGGATTACAATCTACATGGTTACCTTGTCTGATGCGTGGTTTGTTACAAAGTATTTAAATTGTAAACACTAGTTTACAAACTAAACATAAAAAAGCCAGACCTGGATGTTGAACAGCTTTATATCACAAATACATAGTCGCGGTGACGAAATCTCTAAAACATTAAATATTAACAAATCCCCACCTCAGGTCTTTCGATGATTTGTTTGCTAGACTTTCCCTTTTCGTCACACACAAAATATCTGAAGCATCCCGGCAAGGAAAAACCTTTATTCAAAACAAAACTGAAACACAACATACGTTTTTACACTTCTCCAGACATTTAAATCGAGAATCCTAAGACCCTGAGTCATTATATGCTACTTTATACACTAACGAATTCAATTCTAGTGAACAACTTAAAGACCAGCGGCTGACAACTAAATATCAGTAACTGGCAGTGCTTAAGTCAAGGTTTTCTAAAACTAGCTAACATACATTTGCGTAACATTACTTACCTGTATATCACTCAGCTCAGCACGTCTCAAAGCCTCCAATGTGGATGTACGTTGCGATTCGAGGTCTTGAACTTTCCTTTAAGAATACAATGTAACCAAATTATAATCATACGACTCGGTTGCATTGGCTCGTTTTTCAGCATTTTCTTTGGCGAATTCTACATGTTTCAGATGAATTACAGTCTACAAATATAACAAGAGAGAAGTGGACAGACCTCGTCAACACGAGCCTGGACTTCTAAGCACTCGCTCCGCAATCGCATCAGCTCTGCCTCTAATTCATCTATTTTTGAATCCTGGCTATAATTCTTGTTGTTCAGGTTTTCCAATTTCCTAAAATTTTCAGAAACGCAGTACTGAGTTTACCTAGAATGATGATCGTGACTATCTCTGTGACTAGAAAGCCTGTTAAGCGCATCCTTTAATCTGTCGTTTTGCATTTGACACTTCTGCTTAAGTAACATTTCTTTAGCAGCAAGTTCATACTGTTCTGAATTAACCTAAAAAATTCAAGTTATGGATGAAAAGAACTAACTACCTTGTGAGTTGCATCCGCTACACACTTAATTTGACTTTCAATGTCTGAAACTTTACTTCTCAAATCGTCCTCCTCTTCTCTAAATTCATTCAGTCGCTTTCTGAGAACATCCATCACTAACCATAATTTTCGAAAAACCGCTCCAGTCAGAGTAATTCAGAATCTATAGCATACAAACACATATATTTAATCAATTTCATATTTCGTTTATTTGCTATCCGATATTTCCGGTATACTCGCAACAACCTTTTGTGAACTGTTTCATCACTTTGCATCAGCTTCTTGCTTTTTCGGCACAGTTCCGGGTATTTGGTAATCTTCGATGGACGGTAGTCTAACCTCTCGCCTGTACTAATTCTAGTCAGTTTGGTAGTTACTCGTGAGCTTATATATCCTTCAATATGAGTGATCATGTCGTTCATAGAGCATTGGGGTTTATGGAAACAGCGGGTATCACATTAACAGGTAAGAGATTAGGTAGTTGCACTAAGAAAAATAGTTAAGCGAAATTTGGTATTATGTGATGATTTTAAGAACTCAATGAATATGTAACTAGTTAATTATTTAAAATTTCAGGAAGTGTGAGAGTAAAAGGAGCAACGAAGATGATCATGGGCGGGACATGTTCAAACTAGTGACATGTTGTAGTCACAATAATAGGTAAGTTATGAGACATGCATGAGGCACAACTATCCAAGCGAGAGATGATGATCCACCTGTGTTTACGTGTTCATTGGTCAATACTCCCTACTGAAGCTGAGACATGAACGTCTTTGACTAGAAGCTGATCATTTGTTTGTAAATGGTCTACTTTTGAGGGATTTTCTCCTTGTGATATCACCCAAATATTCTATCGGTCTCGAACCTCATATGGCTGAACAAGTCTATTGTGAAATCGCCCTATGGGGGTCGTGTTCTGCTTATTGAGATTAACTGATGCGGTGTTGTAATCCCTAGCTGAATATTACGAAGTAACTGATGACCAATATTACGTGAAAGCACCACTAATCAGAATGACGATTGGTATAGCTTAGTATCTCGGAGTTGACTACTCAAATGTCCAATCAGCACTAGTAAGCTTGTGTTACCAGCTTTGTCTTCATTGGTTTACAACCCTTTAGAGTCTCTCTCACCCTGAACTTGAGTACATAAACCAGTGGCCAGACTCAAGTACGGATATTATATTTCAAACACAAGTAGTTATTCACAGCCTTCAGACACGAAGACTTGACGGTCGTGAGGTATAACGGAAGAGATAGCTCAAAAACATTAGTTTTTATAGTAGTATGAAGGCCTAAGTAAATTGATATTCAAAGCCACTGTTGCATAGCTTGTCCGCGGACTTCGTAAGGACCATCACTCTCAGGTTTGGTACTCCGTGAAACACAATCATGAGTGGTTATTAGGTGTTTATCCGTTATGTTTGAGAGGCATCCCTTCCGCACAAGCTTTGTCACATCTAAGTCAGGTTTGAGAGAACCTTTCAACCAATAGTCTCTGATATGTTAACAAGACTTCCACCATAACGTGTGCTGTGTTTAAGGTTACTCTTAACTAAAGTTGTTTGCATTTAGCTACATTTGGGTTTGTATATCGGCGGTACTTTGCTGCCGAAATGGTACCCCTGCATTATGACCTACATCAATAGTCCTTGTAGTTTTAGTGTAATTACTGTGGGCAGCGTGGTCGCTGTGCATATTTAAAATAACGCTCGGTTCCTCACATCACTGAAACGCTAATTAGCCGCGGACAAATATCTACACCAAATACCCTCCTACTTTATTTGATGGGACTTTGACACAACTGGGACCGAGAACACATGACTAGCCTGACCAGAACGTGAGCATATTTCCGTGTCAGTAACTACTTATTATTTTCCTCGCCTGCACATCAATATTACTCCATGGATTAAGGGGCCGTATATGTGACAATCTAGGGAGGAGATATATATGATAATAATAATGATATCTTTCTGACACATCGAGTACAAGTCAGTCCTAAAGATATGATCAATAATTAACAATATGGGTTCGGGACAGTGTTATGAAGCTGATAAAATTAATGACAGTATTGTAGGTATCATTAACAAGGTTTGATTTGATAATTTCGAATGAATTAAACATTGGGTAGATTGTTATAAATAAATAAATAATGTTTGTGATATCCCGATGAGCATTAAAATTAGATTTTCTGGCGTTTCGTGACTTATTGTATGTCACTTCTTCAGCGGAAAAATAAGCAAATTAAAACTAATCCAAGTTAAAGTAGTACAACAATATTCGTGTGGATATAACATTTGGTTTATGGTAGTGCACTGTCAGTTTATTTATTATGATCTGTTATAAAACGGTATCACGTACAGACTGTGACCTTAACAAACACGCACCCAGCCGAAAACTGGTCATTCGTATGGTATAAGTATGTTATCACTAGGCATTTGTGTGATGCAATACTTATTCAATTTATGGTTGTTGTAGAATAACCACTTGAAAGTAGACCACTGGTAGTTGGACAGAAAAATGTAATATTCACTTGGTAAGTCTTTAGGATAGTAGCGAGCGTCCCTTGTGGTTGCCTATAAATTAGCGGTATTGATAGGCTCAGTGAATTATCTGTATGATTTGATCGAAAATTAAAGAGGGAGAAATAACTAATCTGACATTAAAGAAGAAAAAATAGAGAAATGAAACCAATGTTGTGATGTAATTTGGACACGTAAAGAGTCTGTAATATCTGGGTAAACTGCGAATTTGTTCGCACCTGAAGGTGAATGTGGGAGTTTCAACAAGAAATCTTATAAACGTTTGTAATCCATATGTTATGCGTATTTCAAAGGAAAAATTGTTTCATATTATTGCAGACTTAGTGACAAAGATTTCTTGATATTTTCTCCAGCATTTTTTGACTTTATCTAAGAGATCGTAGATATCTTAGTTTTCGGCAAGCACTATGGTCCGAGTGGTGTAAGATTTCTGAGCACGAGAAAGAAAACCATTGTGAACCATAACTTTTTTTCCAAAAAGGTTCAAGTTTCAGGATATAGTATCGGCAAAGATAGTCAATGAGTGGATCAGTTTTAGGCATTCTGAGATTGAAATCCCATTGTATTTCTTCCACCTCCCGTAAATAGTATAAACGTAAATTGTAACACAAGAACAAATTGTATTTAACGATAGGTCATACACATAACTTTTAAAAAATGATTCCAAATTCATTTTCAAAAAAGTAACAAAGCATAAAGTCTACAAATTTCCGCATCTTCGATACTTTAGTGGTGATGTGTTTAGAGAAGTTTGGACTGTGCGAGTAACACGCTACAAGGTCAGGTACTGATGTGAGTTTGAACAATACATTCTTGTTAATGTTTAGTCTCGTTTTCACAGACATCTCTAATACAAAACAACATTTTCTGTGTTGCGTTTTAAGCTGTAGCGTCTACACCAGTTATCTACTTTGTTGGGCTCATGTTCAAATGTTCGTGCAACACTTGGCATGTCTCAAATGTTGGTTTCTCAGATGAGTTTTAAGTCATCAACGTAAAGATAGATGTAACGGAAAGAGAACGATGAAAATCCCTCCGCAGCTTTTTTCTTGGACAGTACTGTCATTTATTTGTTTTTTCCCCCTGTCGTGTATTTTAACCTTTGTTCAGATCTCGTTTAACCACACCTTTTGTTCTTCAGTCTTCCTCGTCTGAGCTTTTATTACGTGATTTTGATTAGGGAATTATCTTTTGTTGCTTGATTTTCTATTACATATTGCCATACTATTGACAGCAAGGTCGTGTTTGACTGAGCTCAAGATCACGGTGTGATTCAGTGTGTGACAGTTAGCCTTTTGACTGTCTGCTTGGGAGGATTGCTGGAATCCCTGTAGATAGATATTTGATCCCATTTTGTTGAGAATATTTTTATTGATTCTCAGCGCGCTACTTTGGGTTAGAGAAACTTCTGACTATATAGCACAGGCTGTACCGTTTGAGTAGAACCGTTTAAATTGAGCACAGATTTTGTGTTTTGATATAATTTAATACGGGTATCTAAAAAACGCTCGGTAAGCTATGCAGAAGAGCGGAGTCTGGCCTATTCGAATACGTTCTGGTCCGTCAGTCCTGCATTCACACCGAATACTGGCAGTTCCATCGTCACAGTAGGTCTTTTCAGAGTTGAGGTAGGTGCATATGTTATTGATTTAGATTAGAAAAAGCAGTGGACTGAAAACATTACCCTAAACAGCACTACTGATTATTGGTCGAGGTATGGATATCGTAGAGTTAATTTAATAATTCTGTCTGTTTGCGATAAAAGATTTCATCCATTGCAATATAGGATTAATAATTACGACGTACTAAAGTCTGTTGGTGTTGCGAAAGGTTGATTAAGCTTTCTTCACGTAGATAATCAAACAATATATCTTTTATCACTTTCTCCATTATGCGTAATATAATAGAGGTGACAATTATTGATCTTTAGTCCTGGAAAAGGAGGTTTGCAACTGATCTACATTTGGAGACAACATACATGACCTTCCAGGTTTCAGGATATGAGCCTTCTTTTAAAAATGGTGTAAATATTTTAAGTACTGGTGTTGGTACATCCAGCTCCGCTATTTTGTAGAGAATCGATGAGATATTAGCTTCACTAAAACTTGCATTCGGCTTAATGGTTTTAACGGCAGAGTGTTTAATAATGAGATCAAAGCTAATGATATTAGGATTATTTACAAGAAGAAGAATATACTTATAAACCCCCTAAATTGTTTTTTTGAACAGTGATGTTATTTCTTTGTTCTTTTTTGTTTTATATTTCTATTGTACCCAAATCTTATTTTCTTCAGTCTTCTTCATCCGAGCCACTTTTAGTTAATTTTGGTCAAAGATTTACCATTAATACTTAATTTTACTGTTTTATGTGGCTGAATCCAAAGTTACGGCGTGGTTCAGTTACTGGAACTGTCGCACGACAGAGGTCAGCATGAACGCGCAGGATATGCACTGGTTCACCCCACTTTATTTACAACTGAAATTTTATTTGATGTCCACAAAATTACTAATGCCCCAGAGCAGCCGAAAGTAGTACGACATACTAAGAAATTGGTGTGGGTTTTCGTTCATGAGATGTGAATAAAGTTTAATAAAGTCTATGGTCATGATAATGTGTCCATACTTCAAGTCAAACTCTACAAGTTGAGCCTCTCGTTTGCTGCATTATCTAAGAAGAGTGATACTAGACTCTTATATACTGGTAATGAGACCTAACTGACGGAAGCTAGATATCAAGTCGAATCCACCATAGTGAGTGTACTAGTCCCTGCGTGGCTAGTGACCCATAACACTGATGGTTATTATTCAGTCTAAAAAAATGACCGAGTGGTTCGACTGTTTTTACCCAAAAATGGATTGAGAGCAACTATATCCCCCAAATGTTCTTTTATCCCTGACGCAATAGCTGCACAGAGATTCACTTATTTGTGCCCAAAGAAATTCTTGTCATTTTCCCACCCACTCTTTATAAGTTTACCATTGTATATATATATAGAAAAGTTCTACATAAACAAAATATTCTCAGACAAATTAAACCGTGACACTAGTGAATGAACAGTTATATATTTCTGCCGGATCATGTTTAAAGTTTCCGTAATTTGTATGAAGAAACAGGCGCTGGAATTTCAAACGGTTGTATGTGTCAGCTCTACAGGACTATCTACAACAGCTGGATTGTGATATTCGCCCTGAACATGATGTGGATGCTCATTAAGACTTCTTACTGCACACGCTCTTATGTGCAACAAAGCAGTCAGTTCCTCAAACGGTCCTCAAAAGCCATAAGCAAACTAAAATCATCAAGAACAGCACTCTTCGCCTGCTAAGCCGCAAAAGGTACTGTTGAGCAGAATACAAACGAACTGACAACAACGGCGCGTACAGGCAATACAAAAATAAAAGGAACATATGCACGAAGGCTATAAGAGAAGATAGGCTTCAGTACCAGATGAAGTTTATGGATAAATTTGTCTCCAATCCGAAAAGCTTATTCCGTTATGCGCCTCTTTTCGTCAAGCCAAACCTGAAGTTTCCCAACTGCTATGTTTTAACGGCCCGACTGGTAACGACGGCGACGCCGCTAACCATTCGGCTGAGCAATACTGATGACAGCTTCATCTGCAACTGCACAGGACTTTCCGTAGTGAACCTGAGCGCTGACTTGGTGTTCCGAAAACTGCAGCACCTAAGAATAGACACTTCTCTTGGCCCAGATATGGTCCATTCTGCTATATTGAGGGAAGCGACTTCAATTCTGACAACATCGCTCGCTAAGTCGAAGAAACTACCAGGAAATCGGAAACTGGCTCATATCACACCAATTTTCAAAGGAGGTCGATGCAGCGAAACTTCAATTTACCGACCAGTGGCTCATGGATTCCCTGATATACGATGGTATACATGACTATTTACTGTCCTTAAATTTCTTTTCAACCCAACAGCATGTTTTCAGGAAGGGTTACTCTTGTTTAACCAACCTACTGACTGCGGTGGACAGATGGACAAGCATCCTCAACCGCAAGGGGAAGGTTGATATCATTTACCTTGATTTCTCGAAAGCTTTTGATAGGGTTTATAGAATTATGGTCTACTATGATAATAGTACTGCTCTAATACGAGACCTAATTCTAAAATTGCTGATTTGTCATGATGCAACTGCCTAATCTATAAAATCTTACGGAGAAGTTACATCATCGTCTACCAATACATTATGGAGAACAAGCTTAGGCTAGAGATGGAACAATATATTTAACATGAATGAAAGATATAACATTCAGTAGGGACCACGCCTGCAAGGCCGAGCCATGCCATTCAATCAACTCCAATTAGTTTAATTCATTGTTCCCGCCTTCTCCATCGTTTGGTTTTTCTCCGCAATAAATATTGAATATCTATTTTCCCAGTTGTCTCGTGTTGAGCTTTGAGGATTGTGTGGTTAGGGCCCAATGCCACCACTGGTTAAACATATATGTCTTATCAGTAAGCTTAGAAAATTGGGTATCAGGCCACCTCTAATTGATTGGCTCATTTCATATCTGAAAAATCGGCATTTCGAGGTCAGGGTCAACTTCAATTTATCACAGGCTATGGAATGTCCTAGTGGGTCCCCCAGGGCTTATTAATAGGACCTCTTCTCTTTTTGATTTATAATAAGACTTATTACTTTTTGCCGATGACGTGAGAGAGATACGCAACCAAGACAATATACAGGTACTTCAGGAGGATCTGACTCGACTTCAAAGTTGGACAGACGATAACGGACTTACCTTTAACACTTCAATGTGCAAAGTAGTCCATCTGCGACATGTCGCAGATTACAGTTATAACTTAGGAAACTCATCTCTAGTAGTATTGTAGTGAACACGAACACGGGTGGGGACAATCGAATGCACTTGATAACAAATTACAGAATTAGTAAAATCTAACAACCATATATTAAATGCTCAATTTGCAAAATGTCCATCAGTTATCTCAAATGACCCAGAATTCCTTTGTTCTTGTATTTTCATACAAATTGCATGCTGCCTTCATTCTTTACTGTTCGATATACTAGTCTCTATTCGGCCAGACATTATGTTCACCACTCACGTCATATACTACTTATGTCTACATGAGTAGCACACACCAGACTCGTCCCCATTCTGAAAGCCGTCGTTCTTGCAGTGGTTCATGCTCGCCGTGCAACATTCTTCTTTTCTGCAGTCTGTGCTACGCCCTCCGTCAAAATGTCGAGTCTGCGGCGCGCTGAACTCCATAGCTCACTACTCACGTCATACACTACTTATGTCTACATGGGTAGCACACACCACAGTATCCCGAGTCGAAAAACATTTAGGAGTCCTAGTGCCCTACGATTTTAAGTCTTACGCTAACTGTGACAAAAATGCCGCTCAAGCAAACCTTGCACTGTTAACATTGAAGCGTATTTTTGGCCAGTTTGACGGGAGAACTTTCCACATAATCTTCAATAGTTCTATTCGTCCCCATTTAGAGTACGGAAACATAGTACTTCCTCCCTCGTTCCGAAGCGATAGGGACACTCTGAAGCGTATCCAACGGCGAGCCACGAAACCAGTTCGGGGACTCAAATTTAAAACTTATGAAGAGCGCCTCCAGTCACTTAACCTTTACCCATTAGAGTATAGGCGTCTTAGAGGTGACCTTCTGATGGCTTACAGTATCCTTAATATTTCTGGACATCCTCTTAAACACCTGCTTAAGCTTATTTCTAATACTAACCTAAGGGGTAACATCTAGAATTCGGAGATGCAACATAGTAGAACGGACTGTAGGCACAACTTCTACTCCTTAAGAGTTGTCAGATGCTGGAATTCGCTGCCGGCTGAGGTAGTCCAAAGGAACTTCACAGGAGTCCGCTAAGAGGCAAATTGATCTATTCTTAAGGAATAAGGATAGTATCATACTATGATTTACCAATTTCTTTTTCTCTTTTATCGTTAATATACCTAGGTTCTTGCCTGGAGGTACTGGTGATCCCCTGCTACTGGACGCGGAAGCCTGTTAAGCGAAAGCTTCTTCTATTCCGTCCACAGCCATTTGAACCGTTCGATAAAACGATAGTGAAAAAATCAGTCAATTGATATAAGCTTGTGACAAAATTATTGGATGCTGAATAACGGTTGTTATAGCAACAATTTGCTCACGATGCCTAATTTAAATAACGGCCGAGATTTATCAGATACTATGCAAAATGATGATTTATTCAAAACGTCTTATGGAGTTGGACATCACTGGAGGAAAGGGCTTTATTTTCCTGATTCTGACACAATGGTATGATAATACTTTTCAACATAGTTCTTTATTTTGCTTTACAATTAAGGCCAAACTTAGTAAAAGACTTACAAGGAGTTTAGAGCCCGAATCTGAAGTTGAGTTTGACGATCAGTATCAAACGTCAAACAGGCTTGCGTACGATCGGAAGGTCCCAAAGGATTTTTTGAAGTGTCCACAAAATCCTCTACCACCTCATCACTGGGATGTTCACTACATAAATGATTTTCGTTCACGATTTCTCCGTGGCGGCTACAGAAGACCGCTAAGCCCAAGTCATCAGACAACTGAAACAAAAGAGTCATATGGTAGTGTTGATGGGCTCAGTGAATTATGGCGTCCATTATCAATGCGACCTTTTGAAATCAAAGATCATCATAAGGATGGACCATCCAAAGTAAATAACTTCTTTAATAGCATTAAACTCCAAGAAAATAATCCCGTCTACTAAAAATGCCAATTTGTCAGGCAGAGTGTTATATCCTCGGGACAAAGAAATATTAAGATGCCTGGATCCATATCTTACGACATATATGAAAGATCATAGGGTTTGGAAACCTAAAGAACTAAAAGAAATATCTCAAGAGAATATGCCGGCATACTGGAATTCAACAGACAACCTGAGGTCAAGCGTGTTTGGTTTAGACTCAAAGTATGTCAGTCAAAAGTTGTCTGTTTTGTTTAATTATAACTTTTTTTGGAATCAAACTACTGCTTCCTTATTTTTTGTTTTCAACGCGAACGTCAAAATGATGGTTGCTGAAACAATCCAATGTCTGTTCTATTTCTTAGCAGCTGTAAGCTACATGGGAGTGGACAAATTTCTATCATTTAAATTCTTCATTCATCAAATTAAATTAGTCAAATGTTTTTCTGCACAAAACGGGAACTCAGTTCAAAACACAAAAGTTACTGGTATTACGTTTAAAAAATAAAAATAATGTGGGTAAAAGTGGAGATTTCCATTGAGTTTTTCGTGAGATTAGCGTTTGAATAAGTTAAGAGATATTCTAGAGAAAATATTAATGGAGAGGAAGACGCATTTATGATAATTAGAAGTATTTGAATTATTGTACGAACTGGGAATCCCCGAAACAGTGCAATTTATGGCAAGTAGAACCAGGTGAGAACAAACGAACGTATAGTATTTGGAATTCGAAATCAGGCGGTCGACAAGTACAAAGGAATCATTAGTTCATACAAACACCATAGCGTTACTCTAAATGAATCTGGTGCAAATCCAGGCATTGACTAAGTTATGTATTTACTGACACGCTGTTGACACCAAACCACAGATGTAACATCATGAATAGCAACAAACTTTACTGGGTCTTATCAGTATTAAAAATCATATTCACCCATAATACCATTAAATTAGTCTGACAACTGGAGCTATTCTAAGTTCACTATTGATCAACTGTCCAATAGGAAATTCTGTCTTAAATAATAACACTATTGCATGTTTATGGTTGTAAAAACAAATTATTGCATCTTCTTGTGAATCATGACTTTTGATCGAAAACAAAATAATTAAACTGAAATTAATCTGTATCTAGTTTATAGATTTATAATCCGGTTTCTTTCCTCATTTAATCTACTCAAAACGATAAATTTGAAAACCGATAGACATTTGTTGTTGTTATTTATTTTGTACTAGACCAATAACAAAACAAGGCATTGGAAACGAAAAAAAACCTATGATTGACACACTGAAGTTTAATTATCCGACAGACAGCACTAGAGTACAACCGATTTCTCATCATGTAGCACATACGTAAGTTTCATCACTTTCTGAACATTTAATTACTCACTTTTATACAATTGGCAAAACTATTTACTAGAGGATTGATTTGCAGTATCTTGCATGGGCAACTGTTTACCAACACATTCGAGTATTTGGTAATAAATGATTGCAGTAGTTCTCAAGGTTTTAACTCTACAATGGCAGTTTTAATGTTGGTGTAGAAAATCTGACTTTGGTGTTGTGCGACTATTGTTCTGAGTTTCAGGTTATCTTCGATTTTAGAAATGCCGCTCTTGACTCGGGAATTCGTGCCATGACATCTGCATCCGACATTCCTTGTCTGCTGATAATGCTATCCAGTTACGTGCAAGTGACAAATATATTTTTCTTTATATCCCAATGATTGGAAAGTTATATTTTTGACGTTTTGTAATTTGATGTAACGAAATACGAGTTTCTACTCATTGGGATATAACAAAAAATATATCAACCATTAACTTTCTACCTGATACGCGATTTATTTGAAACTGTCAAAGCCAAGGTTCCAAGTGTTCTTAAGCTTTGCCATTAAGTATAATTAAATTGATGCTCGTTGTATTGTACTTCAAGATCTTGCTTCTTCCCTTGTGAATGTTGAAGCCTGACAATACCGAGGCTGTTGTTACACTACCTATCTTTACCTGCATTTGTCGTTATGTGTGTGATGGCATGGCCAAGTCGTCTGCGAATTCCTCATCATCTAGTTAAGTTTAAGGGATCCACTGTATTCTGTGCTACTTCTGAGATATGGAAGTTGTTGTGCCTTTAAACCCGGCTAGTTATCACGTGATTCATTCGTCAATCGAAATACGACTTATTCAAACTTAGCACTGTGCGAAACCAATGACGTCCAACGAGTATGAACAGCCTAGCCTTCTTATTGGTCCTTTGTTCTCCTAGCCCGTCCAGTTGAGTCCAGAACGCCAACAACAGCTTCCACTGTGCGAATCATTTATTCCAAACATACTTTGTTTATATACCAGACAGACAGACGGCGTCACATCATAAAATAGGAAATAGCATTTACACAAGATCAAGCCAGTAAGTGACTGCAAACGTGGGAGACTGTAATCGATAAACTGAATACAAATTAAGAACAGTAAATCTATAGGTCAAAATGAAGCTTTTAGCAAGAGACTAATAGATATACATAATCTAGTCACTGAACAGTTATATAGTAGGAATATATATGTATAGATAATATAAATCCATCAATAGTTCTCACAGGTTATCCGTAATTTATTCTTCATTAGAATATAACAGTGGTCTTCATAGTTTAGTTAACAGCTAGCACAAGGTGGAGAGAAGAGTATAGGAAACATTGTCTGACACTATTATTTACGTGGGATTCACCTGTAAGCTGCCCTCCATCAACAAATTCACAATCCAGCCTCTCATAACTGCTTCGTGCAATTGTAACAGTGTTTCTAGGTGCACTATACTGTCGAAAAAATTCCACAATGTTTTCCAGTGCACACCAATTTATGCGTTCATCTTGTTGTGCTAATGAGGTGTGGCAACTTGGACCGATGCATATATGTGTCTGGTCCTATTTTGTTTTCGACTGACCTATTTGCAGTCAAAGTTGACTCCAACTGAAGTTTAATTTTCGATGTATTATCAAATATTGGTTTTGAGAAGGAAAATATTCCATTAAGATCTTATTGTGGACTGTGTGAGTCTTTGAAATGATGTTTAACAAACATCTCTTTTGTCATAGTTTAAAACTCCTCTGTTTTACCGGATGTCAATGTTTTCTGTAGTTGATTTTACGATATTAAAGAGTTGGTAAATATATATTATCCGAAGAAATAATGACAAGTTAACTTATTAATAACTTGATCACTAAGAATCACAATAATCTCAGCTGTGATCTCTATAGTAAGTAATAGATATCGGTTGATTTCCTACCTTTATCAATTCTATTATTTTTTTAATGCGAAACTGAAACGTGATTCTGTGTTTTATTAAGTTATATGCTTTGTTACTTTAATCAATATATTCACCTGAAATACCTAAACTGATATACATTTTTATTCTCCTAAAAAAGTTTTGAAAGCACTTACCAGTCGGAATACAAACAGCCCAATAGTATATTAAGAAAAGCGGACAAAGTGTGCCCGATAGAGACACCATTCATTTTGCCAGGTATATTATTCTTGATAGTTAAGCTTCAATGTAATGTCAAAATTTTCTAAAGTTATTATTATTATTATTATTATTACAGATTAGTGCTGATTATCACTGAAAGTTAGCATAAACTTTTCGTCTAATTCTGGCATAGTTTATGAACTAAAACAATTACATTTTGCTGAATGTGTCAGAGTTCTCATTGTCACGTACGTTCATAATTAACTGGGGTGTTATTTAAACAGCCATCACTCTTACTCAGTTGGATTTTATCAAGGTCCGTCCTTCGTTAGTTATCGATTAATACCACAATCCGTTTATAATTTCGGATTTTACTCACAATTTGTTCGTTTGGTGCATCTACTGGTACTATTCTCAGTAGATAAAGTCAAATTGTACTTGTTTTCACTGTAGCTTCTTTCAGCTTCTAGTTTGATAGTGTTACGCGTAGTGTTCCGACAAGAAAACTATAGGGAAAATAAACTCCGCACAAACTAGGGTTGACACACAAGAAACATTGTATCAAATGTGTAATTAACAATTCATTAGGAAATTTTCTACCTAGTTATCTGGTTTTCCATATACAGGTTAAGTACTTTCTTTAATTATTGCTATTTTTAGTAGATGAAACCTGTTCATAACTAATTGCCTGCCAATAACTATCACATAATTCATAGTTATAATTCCAGTAATAGGAATTACTGCTCACTCATTAAGTTGAATATTGTCCAAAGAAGCAATTTTTTTAAGAGTTTGATAGTATTTCAATATGAGGTATTACATGTACATTTAAATCCGTAATAGTGATCGTACATGCTTGCAAGTTAAAATAACCACGCGACATATTTCTCATCTATTTTGATGCAACTCAGTAAGGAAGCGGAGGATTATTGTACCCTGTGTGAAAACTAGTAGTCCTATTCGTTTGTCGGAGGTTATTTATATAAAACAAAGGGTTCAAACCTACAACGTATTGTTTTAGTTTCATACGCTTCAACCAATAAACCAATTATAATTCCTTGAAAAAGTTTGGACCAGATTGCCAGGTGAAACGTTGGATTTACTTCAAATTCACTCTCTGAGATTTTACAAATACATTCTCCCTTATTAATGTCTCACATCAACTCGGTGCCCAAATACTGTGAAACTATTCGATCAAATTTAGACGAAAGTTCTTATACAATTATTTAACAGCATGGAACAGATTTATATCAATCATTTAATTCTTAATCATATTTCAAAAATAATTTATTATTATTCTTTCTCTTCATCAAGATCCTGGAACTGTCCTAGTTCATGCTGCACCAAATATGTATAAAACGGAATATTCTGTTATAGGTGAATATCAAAAAACACTACTGTAAAAGTTAACTGGTAAGTAGTAGAGGGAGCGAATTCACCCAGTTCCACATTGTATGTCTACGTACACACACATATACACTGACGTACTTATCATCAAGTTCGATTGAACAGATGTAAAAATTATAAGTTTGTGAAATCAAACTATAATGTAATACCTTTCAATCGAATTTTAATTTAGAATATCAAAATAGATTTATTTAAAATGTTACAAGGGATAATTTCCTTCTCAATACTTTCTATTTTAATGAAAGTAACAAAATAAATGCTTTTGTTTACCTGTGCACTTGTTTAAGATGACATATATGGCTGGTGTCAAAAACCTCGACAAGATCAAAAGTATAAATTAATATATCATGTTTAGCAGGTGGATTTCAGGATTCAATAGCCAAGTGGATAATACGGTGGCGTTTGAAGTGAATGGTGCTGGGTTTGAGTCCCGGAGTGAACATAAACTCAGATTCAGGTACATCCAGCTGACAAGTCCCATATAGGACGAAACGCGCGTCAAACTGGATTCGACTGCTTGCCACTATCCATCCTTGCTTAAAAAGCTCGTGACCTAAGGCTATATTGAGGCAATACGCACAGTATGTACACATGTCAATAACAGACTGATCTAATTGCAGTGCTAAGCATCAATGAGAAGATTCAAGAAAAACAACAAGTGAATTCATGTTTAGTTTGTTTCGATTGTTTTACATAATCAATTATGCTCTTACCTAAACCCAATAATCAGTAAATTGAATATTGAGTATAGAATTGGAATTCATCCTGACAGTATACTCCATAGTATATTATCACAAATATTTTAAATGAAGTCAGTCAGCTGCAACGTAGAACCAGGCATGCATATGCATCGGTCCAAGTTGCCATACCGCATTAGCACAACAAGATGAACACCGGATTCATAAAAGTAGTTAATTCAGTGGTGGTAATATATAGAAGAAAGATTGTGTATAAGGAGATAGTACAGGAAGAAAGAATTAGTTCCTAGAAAGAAAGATTTGAAGTGATTTTAATCTCTTAATTTAAAGGAAGACAGAGAGTGTATACACCGACACCATTGTGATCGATTCTGAGCCATGTCACCAAGAGTATCCAACCATCGGTTACGATAGTCACGCGAACCCCAACCAGGCAGTCTGAATCTTCCAACATGGCTCAGCCCAGAAGTTAGTGACTTCAAGCACTGATGCCACGTTTTGGTTTGGCCGCCCCTAACTTTCTTCCAATTATCCCTAACACCAGTGAGTATTGCTCGTCGTGGTAATCGGTGTTCAGGCATACGCAACACGTGGCCCAACCATCCCAGTCGATGAAGATTCATAACCTCATCAACTGATTTACCATCATTCCCTAGTACCCTGCGTCTAACCTCACTATTACTTACCCGGTGATCCCAGCAGATAACCGTAATATTTCTAAGGCACCTGTGGTCAAATACTAGTAGCTTACGAGTATCTTCTACTCTTAAAGGCCATGTTTCACAGCCGTTTAGTAGAACGGAACGAACTGCCGCGCAGTATACTCGTCCCTTAATTGATAGACGGATATCTCGCCTTCGCCATAGATGACGTAAGTTGGCAAAGGCCAAACGAGCTTTTCGAATCCGTGCTGAGATTTCGTCAGACACCAACCCATTAGGGCTGATCAGACTTCCAAGATAAGTGTATTTGTCAACGCGTTCGACTACTTCACTCCCTATCCTTAGTTCAGGTGTTGACGCAGACCAGTCCTGAAGCAACAACTTGCATTTAGAGGGAGAGAAGCGCATCCCAAACATTCTGGTATTGTTGTTCAGTGCTACCGAAAGACTCTGCATTTCATCAGCGTCTTCACCAAACAGGACTATGTCATCTGCGTATTCTAAGTCGATAAGTGGACCACCTGGTAGGAGATCAATACCCGAGAATTCAGTCGATGAGAGCGTTATTTCCATCAAGATGTTTATGATAAAGTTAAACAAAAAAGGAGAAAATGGACAGCTTTGACGGACCCCACTTGAGGTTGCAAAAGCAGATGACAGTTCACCATAAGCTCTGACCCGACTAGTAGTGTTCGAGTAAAGAGCCTTCACAAGGTTTATGTGCTTCTGAGGTACGCCTTTCAATGACAGACACTGCCATAGAACCTCTCGGTCAACAGAGTCAAACGCTGCTTTTAAGTCAAGAAATACCACCATTGTCGGACGCCGATAAGTATGCCTGTGTTCTAGAACCTGACGAATGGTGAATATGTGGTCGATGCAGCCACGACTAGGTCTGAAGTTAGCCTGATTTTCACGTGTTTGCAGCTCACGAGTTTTAGTTAGGCGTCCGATAATTATCGAGGCTAGTATTTTAGATACTATATTAGTCAAACTAATCCCTCTATGGTTGTCACAGGATGATTTTGACCCTTTCTTAAATATTGGGACGATAAGTGATTATGACCAGTTAGATGGGGTAACATCTAACTCCCAGATTTTAGCTAAAATATTAGTCAACCTAATCGCTAAAATTAGATCACCATATTTAAAGACCTCTGGGGCCAATCCATCTGGACCAGCTGCCCTTCCTCGTTTCAGATTAACTATAGCCTTTTGAACTTCCGCTAGAGATGGAGGACCTACTTCAATGTTCCATTCACACTGTCTGGGAATAGAGGGTAATTGTAGAGTTGCTGAAGGCCAGCTAAACTGCTCCTTAAAGTGTTCCGCCCATCGTTCTAAGCGTCTGGACTGGGAGCAGATGAGAGTGTCGTTTTTTTCCGAAATAGTCTGACTTACACTTGATTTATTAATTCCAGTTTCTTTTATTAGTCTGTAGAGTTGTCTTGTGTTCCCTATAATCGCCGCCTTTTCCATCTCTTTTGCTTTCGTTGCCCACCACTGCTCACGATCATTCCTTACACTTTTGCTTAACCCAGATCTGATTTGTTTACGCTCTTCATCGTGTTCAGAACCTGATGGGATGTTTTCGAGAATCTATCAGTGCAATAGACCTTGGTTTAAATCACTAGTAGATGTCACTGCTGTTTCCACAGCTGCTTGTATAACTCTCCAAGCAAAATCTTGGTCAGCCTCGTTTTCGGAACTACCTAAGTGTGACCTCAGTTGTTTCTGGAACCTACTTTTGGTTTTCCCATTACTCAATTCAGTTCTAATGAATCTTTTTTGTGTGGCTGTTTTGCGTCCAGTGAGGCGCAAGCAGATGCGTGCTCGTATTAAGGCATGATCGGAGTCGAAGTAGGTACTCCAGAATGAGCGACAATCTTCTATTGACCTTCTCCAATGATGACTGATGGCAATATGGTCTATTTGAGTCCATCGTTGGTTTGGTGCAGGGGGTCGCCATATTAGACGATGTCTCTCCTTATGCCTAAAGTTTGTGTTTGCTAAAAATAAACGATTGTCTGAGCACAGTTGCAGCAAACGATCACCATTATCTGTTCTCTGTGCCGGAATACTTAATACCCTCCTAAATGTCTTTCTGTTTCGTTTAAGCTACCTACCTGGGCATTAAAATCGCCTGCTACGAGTACTATGTCTGAACGTTTAGCTTTCTGAAGCAGTTCAGACAGCTTTCTGTAAAATTCATCTTTCACTTCATCCGAACTGCAGTCAGTGGGGGCGTAGGCAGAAACGACGAAAAAGCAATGACGTGTGTCCCTATCCTTCCGAGTTCTTACGGAGCCGTTTAGCCGAACAGCGCATAGACGACTGTTAACGGGGATCCATTCTAATAGCGCTTGTTCCGCCCTCATGCTTAGTGCTATGCCTACACCTGCCAGTCCACGAGAACTAGCCATAGGGTCGCCAGATACACTGAGGGTGTATCTCGTCGGCACTCCGTTTTGCCGAGGTGAGGTCAAGTGAATGACCACACTAGGATCCTGTATGCGTGTTTTGGAGACAGCATACATCAATGGTACGAGATTCTAAGGTTTTAGCCAAGGAAGCCTGCTGACCGATTTGGCATAGTGTGCGTACGTTGAATGCTCTAATGTGTAGTTTGGAGCGAGGTTTCAGTAGACCTGGGACAGTGTTTTGCGCACTAGAATCGTTGGCTGTGGTGACACTTGAGGAGGAAGCTAAAAGAGGAAGTTTGGTGTAGGAAGTCGATGTAGGAGGAATAATAGGAATTGAAGAGGGAGGTTGATTATGAATACAGTGGTCTTGAGTGCTGTTAGAGGTATGAAGGCGGTTTTCACTTTCCGGTTGCCCACATCGTGGAAGGGTTCTTCTGGAGGTACCTGAAAAGGAAATTGGATTAGAGTTGGTCATAGTGACCTGAGAGCGTGACCGCAGTGCCCAAGGGACAGCTGCTTGAGGTCGGTCACACACGACCTTTTTATGAGTAATTTTTGTGTTAGCTCCGTACTTGTTGAGACCTTACCGTCGGAGACGGATATCCGTGGGATAAGGCGAGGTGTGCATTTTTAGGGTCGATCTTTTCTAACCCCACCCCTCCTTGTGGGAAGGCAGCATCGCTGTCATGCTGGTTGTCTGAAGGAAACACCTTACTGCTGTCACACCTCTGTACAGTCAGCAATACGACTTCGCCTTTGGACCTTGGTTTTGTTGCTTTTAGTCTTACCGCTCTTCAACCGACCTGTCTGGAATGGTAAGACCTTGAGGAAGGATTGTACCAGCCAGCTTCATCACGATAGGCAAGTCCGACCACCACGTCAAGGTAGCAACAACGGCTTATTAACAGTGTGAAGGAATACAAAGTTGGTATATTGATGGGTCAGAAGTCATTGGTATCTGTTTTTGACATGACTTTTGTCTAACATTAGCATCAAGTGAGAATCAGAACATGGATTTCGTTCGTTTCGGGATACATCGGATGGAGTTGGTTAGATGGTCAATTCACACAGATACAGTGAGTGAAAGTTAAGATAAATAAAACAACAATTTACCAAAGTATCATACATCAAGACAGAACTAAACATGCTTGAAAGGCAAACTTACTTCTCTGAAGTATTAAACATCATTTGATTTTGTAAATAATCAGATAAT